TCTAGAGAAAAAAAATCGGCCTCCAAACCCGCGTGGACGGGCGCGCTACTGCTGTACCAGAGCGGTCTCTCACATCAGAATATGAGCGCGAAGAGTGCGAGTCGCTGTCGGATGCCTCTGGCTGCTGTTGTTGCTGGCGCCCGTCCAACCCTTGCTGCCCGGGCTCCTGCTGCTGCTGCGAAGCAGGACGGCGGTTCGCCTGCTGCGCCTGGTTGCTGTCGACGCATCCATTCACCAGATCGAAGTCCGCGCAATCGCCCAGGCACTCGAACATCTTGAGCCGCGACATGTTCGCTACCTTCCTCTGCTGCTGCTTCTCCTAAACAAAAAGCGAGGTTGAGCCTGGTCCGCCTCGCGTGCCCCAGTTGTACGTTCAACCGTCCCTAGGAAAGTATTGTTTCTATTACCTCAGCGCGATGAATCGATCTCGAGGGCCTAGTTAACGGTGCCCGAGAGCGCACAGTAGGGTGTGTGGGCCCTACGACGGAGTTGGTGGTTCGCTGCTGTGGTTGCTGCTGCGAAATAATCCCTGGGGGTCCCAGCCAAAAAGCCAGCAGCTGGTCTATCTCTCTGCATATATTTTGGTTATTGTGAGTTGGTTCGGGCATGAGATGAGGGCACGCAAGTGGGATATTTTATGGTGTGCCTCTATGATTCCGCGACTCCCCAACAACACCGTCTGACCGGTGCTGGTTGCTGGTTGTTGTAGCCTGTGTACTCACACTGCACACGCTACGCGCCACCCGAGCACAGCAGAGACACGAACCAACCCGCGCCCCCCTCGAAGGGGACGGGAAGAGCCTAAACATGAAGAGGGTAGATGCAGTGATGTTGATGGTGGCGATCGTGGTGAGTTGTGCTATCGAGTTGTGCCGTGGCCGACACGTGATGTCGATACGAGACTTCGCATCCTCGACCGAGAGACGAGCTCGCCTGCTTCGAGAACACGAAAAGGGGAATACGTGCTGGTTAGTCGGCCAGTACTTCCTGCACGCAGTGTGTATTGAGGTATGCCCCAGTCGCGATGGCCGTGTTGCCAACATGTCGTGACTGCTGTAGAAATCCGCATCCCGAAATCTTCCCGACAGAAAGATATTGTCTAGTCTTACCCTTGTAGACATCACGATGGATATGCATACAACAGTAGTTACCTGCCGGTACTTTACCCTCCTACGTATCTTTCTCCGCGGGATGATTTACGTACGAAATTGTCCATGGCATCAAGACCTCGATTCTGGTCAACGAAACTCTAGTCTTGCTGCTCATACCCTACGTTTGCACCCCGTTGCACGCAACCATGATTCGAGAGCGTAAGTACATTTTTGGTTTTCTACGTAGTCTTCGACTGCTACAGGCCTATACGGTCGCTCCGACAGATGTGGTGTCACCACTTCCAGATTTTACTAGAGAGCTTGCGTGAAGGTGACCTTCACAAAGGTCCAAAATTTCTCCAATGTCTGTCGAGAACGATTCCCTCCTTTGAAATTTGGTGGAAGATAACCCTGGTTCAACTCCAGCCACCTACCTTGTCCACCTTGTATACCATCGAGCCTTGTGTGCAACGGTGGAAGCACCAGCCGCAGTTTTTGGTGTGAACACCGCTATAAGTCTATGTACAACAGCGCCTTTTTTGGCATGTGTACAGCATTTGGTGCGTGTGGATCACGAGCTGTGATTGTGTGTATACCCCGATGGTGTGCACTGGGTGATATGTCGTCCGTCTTCCTGTGATACTCGCTGCCGACAGAACGCCGTCGACCACACCGTCGTTCCCGCCACCGCTCAAGACCTGCGAAAAGTTCTGTATTCCGTGAACCTTCGAACCTGGCTCCCAAACTTGCTTTGCTCGTCACCAACAACAACAACGTCAACGGGGGCGGGTGAAACTATTGCTAGCGCGGGACCTGTCGACGATGGCGAGAGAACCGGGAGGCGCCGATGCGAGGAGACCGTGGAGGCGGCGTTGTCGGTGCCCGTAGGATCAGTTTCTGGGCGAATGCAATCCTCGACGACTGAATTGGAGATACAGTGAGCCCGTAGAGAAAGCGCGAGGTTGGGCAACTGTGCATTTAATTATCTATGTACATACGATGGTAGCCCCTTGCCTCTATCGCGTGCCAAAGTTGAGCGAACACCAAAACATGGTTGAGGGCACTGCTGTTGAGGTTGAGTGCTGGCTCAAACATCAGTTGGTTTTGGCAAGGTTGAAAGCATGATTTCGTCTCAAAAGCATGGTCGGCAGAAAGTCCCTCCATACGTTTGTGAGCTCACCGCTTGACATGTTTGTCCTGTTCCAACACTCACGCATGTCTTTTCGCCGCTGCCTACGTGAAGCACACACGCTTACTCTGCACGCACGTAGCAGCGCTCCCACATCATACCACACGAAGGGTCCTCATCCGCGCATCCCCCTCCCGCCCTCTGGCTGTCCCGTGTTCCTCGCGCACGCGTACGCAGCGCCACCATCGACGACATCCCCTGGTTGCAGACGATGGAGAAATGCCTGGATCAGATGTCCTACCACACCGACTTTCTGTTGCCGCTCGACTGCCAGGTTATGTACATCGTGCTCGCGTCCGAGAGGGGGAATGCACAGCTCCGGCCGGCGCTTCAGGACCTCTGGCGGCAGCAGCAGCACGCGGCGGAGCTAGGTCGGCAAGCCGTCGCCTCTGGCGAGGTTTCGAAAATTTCGCCTTCCGTCGAAACCATCGCGGGCCTTCTGTCTCTGCTCGACGTCGACGTCAAGAGCGAGGACTCTGACGGGAGCAGCGACGGCGGAAGAAGGGCGTCAAGCGAAGAGCCGTTCGTGAAAGTGTTGGCCCCGGTGGACGCCACAAGGGTGAACGGAGGGGCGGTGCCCTTTATCGCGGAGGTGTACCTGGGAGGGGCTCTTGAGGAACGCCTCCTCGAAGTGAGGAACGGCAGGCGGCGAGAGGATGCTGCTAGCAGCAATCTCGTTGGGGGGCACGAAACCAGTACGGGACGCGTCGAGGAACGGGGGCCCGGACACTCGTCGTGGCGTCCCCCTTTCCACCGGTGCGAAGTCCGTGCTGTCGTTGACGGCGTCGTCACTACTCGCATCCCAATCTACGAAGAAGGCGACGGTGATGTCCCCACGGCCACCGCTAATACTTCTTCCGAAAAACGAGAAGGAGGAGGAGAGGAAGACACATCGCCAGAAAACGGCGGCGGCGGCGACAAGAGAAGAAAAGCGGGTAAAGCCACCAGCCACATAATCAGGAGGGCCGTGATTCCCGACTACGGCAGGCAGCGCTGCAGCGACCACCCGCGGGCGGCGGCGACCCTGGCGACTACGGCGGGGGTAGCGGGGGTGGCTAGAGACAGCTGGGGTAACTACGAAGACATGTGGCTCATAGAGGCACGCCAGGTAGACAGGGTTTGCACCAGGGAGGCCTTCGGGCCCCACCGCATGCAGGGCGAGCTGGCCTGCTGTTTTTCCGACGGCGGCCACGCCGGTGACCGCGAAACAGGCGCCTCTGCCGGGAAGGAGACCTGCGAAGTCCAGGCCATTTCGGCGCCGTTCGAGTACCATCACACCGGGCACCTCGCCGATGTCTTGTCCAGCTCCTGGGCCGAGCAAGAACGGGGCTTTGTCTCCGGTTCCGGTACCGCTTCGGGTGAGTCCGGACCCGGCGGCTTGCCTTTCGACCCCCCCCCGGAGGAGATCTCGGTGTCGGTGTACGTGGAAACGGCCCCCGATGCGGCCGCGGCCGTCATGGCCGTTCCGCGATGGAGCTCGGACGGGGACGTGTGGATGGTAGGTGCGCAGAATAGACGAAAATATTTGTCATATATTCTACCGTCGATAGTACGGATTTCGGCAAGGCTTCTGAAAAAAGCCATGGCTACTTCGTGTCACCAATGCACTCGAGTTCGAGGTGATACCGTAGTATGCCATGGAAATTCTGGGCTTCAACATCAGCATGTTGTATACAAACATCGCCGTACCCCGAACCATGAACGTGTGGCTAGTGTTCCCCTCTTTTCTCGATTGAAGAGACGGGTTCGATGATGCGCGCAGATATCGCGAACACGTGACTGTTATTGTTGGCTCTTGCTGTATTGACAAAGCTCTGGCAGCTCTGGCATGCTATCTGCTGATGATGTGCGTTCTCCTCTCGAATTCGGGTACCGACAAACGTCAGAGAGCAAGAGAAAAACTCACACACATACAACACACACGATGTACAAGTGTCCCACGAGAAAGAATGTCGGGATAAGGGTGGGGGTAAACAAGCTCGCAACACCGTACAGCTCTCCAAACGATCGACAACAAAGTCCCACGAAAGATGGATGCGAAAAACAAAGCAACCGACGACGAACGGCACACGCAGCAAGTGAACCACGTTCTTGTACGCCCGCTGCGTGAGTTTGGGCTCGTCCATGCCATTGCGGAGACAAACTACACAACGATAGAGCACGAGAGGCACACAAATTCCTGAGCAAGCCGGAAAGCAGGCAACACACGGCCTAACTTTTGTCGCCAGCGTCGACTAATACACGATTGCTGATAATGCACATGTACACGACTACCTTTCAGGAGGCGTTCCGCACCTGTTCGGAGGCGTTCGGACCGTCACAAGGGTTTCTGATCAACGTCAACGACTGTGTGAACCTCATCACAACCGTAGTTTCGGCCAAGAGGGTGAGTTTAAGTTGTTGCTGTCGCTCGTGTGGGTTTTCGGCTTCTGGTCAACATCAACGACCGTGTGAAACGATCACGACCGTCGTTATGGCCAAGATGACGAGCTTCTACCTTGTTTTATACATGTTGTTGCTGTCGCTCCTGTTGGTTTTCGCTGATGCCCTTTTTGGTCGGCCCTATGCACTGTGTCGGAGAAGCTAGGCAATAATCCGAAGTTGCTGGGGTTGCCAACTTGTCAAGGATGATCAGTGTGGAACTCACGCTTTTTTTACTCTATCTGGGTGAACGGTGCTATGCCGTGGTATGCCGTATTCACCAGGTCGGAAAGCAGGGCATCAACACCCTCGCTGATTTCCCGCAAAAGGCGGAGAGATGGCACCCCCCCTGGACCGATAATCAAAGCTCGGTTGCTCCACAAACAAGATTGTTCCAACACCTACAACGGTGGTATTGGAAACATCTCAACACCTACAATGGTGGTATTGGAAACATCTCGTCGAGGGCTTTCCGTAGAAAGTATCGGGCTCTTTCCGCGCCCCCTTGTTTGTGCAGCAATCGGTCTTTGAAATATCGGTCTAGGGGGGGGTGCCATTTCTCTACCTCTTGCGATAGTTCGAGCAGGTTGTTTCACTGGCAGACAGGTTTCCAGGAAGATATCAACTTGCTCCCACACTCCTCGCAAGGACTTCAACTTCCCACTTGTTGCACACCCTTTGCTAACACTTTCGATCAGTGGGAGAACGTACGTACTTGTTGCGAATACACAATCAATCTATAGCCCACCTGTCTGTCCGGTGTACTTCTACGTCTCATTTCCCACAAACAGCGGCCCGCCTTCCTGGTTCGTTCAATAAAATTATGCTTTCTTGACAGCATCCATTTTCGTCCCGGCTCGTTGTCCCGGCTCGTTTCTTCAAACTGCTGGTATTTTCATATGTTTCGATCAGTTTCATTGTCTTGTGCAACGCGCCCCCTCCCAAAACCAACGACTGAATCTACGAACGCAGGCGGACCTGTTCCGCAGGCTGGCGTTGCGAATGGATGCCTACGGTATCAGCGTTCACCGCGGTGACGAAGTAGTCGAGGGCCATACCGCCCGCTGTCCAGAAAAGGTACACAAAACAAAAATAGTCGTTGCCTCTCAAGTCCTTTCGGCAAGTCTTTCTACTTATAATACTATGATGGAAGGAACAGTAGGCATTGTTCTCGAAACGGCGTGCCCGTTCTTTTGTCCGGCGGTGACGTACGAGAAGTAGCTTATCATCGGCTGCAGCTCCTGGATCTGGTGTTGCATGATCATGCCGAATACTGAAGTACACCAAAACACACACACTCACACAGCGTGATGTATTTCGTTGGTCGGGCGACTACATAGCGCAGTCGATGATGATAAAAGATTATAACAACACAGAGGGTAGAAGAAGTGGTGCAGGAGAGAGAAGGGGGTCCGATCTACAGTAATCAGATCTTCCGCATGGAGGTTTTGGCGAAAGGAAACGCGTTGTCCCGATTTGACCAACACCAACCTCACGGCAACCTTCGTCCGACACACATTTGAGAGCACATGCCTCCTACAGAATATCTCCAACGCTCCGTTGTTCACATTCTTGTGTTGTCTTCCACCCCTGGTGGGATGACCGAACCGACCGACTTTATTCACATTTTACCTCAGGTGGAAGCTCTCGGGGCGATGCCCCGCGATGGAGGTGACCGCGTGAGAACAATCTGCGAGGTACAACAAATTCTCGGGATACCTAGCTAGGAGGTCGATTTCGTTCTCTTCACACTCGTTTTGTGTTGTTGTTACCGCTGTTGAGACGCGGCTGCAACGTCCGGAACACGTGTTTCTACGTGTGGGACAGAGACCGAGAGAAGAGAGAGAGAAAGAGAGAGACAAAGACAGTACGTTGCGTTGAAAGCACGTGGTTTCCGGTACCACTAACTGTCCCCTCCCCGTCTCCTCTTCCATTCCTGGGCCATAATGAAACCACTGAAAAAGGTTGGATTCAACGCAGGGCACAGCTCGCTGAACTGGCTCCTGAACTCGCATCCTTCCACGAGGGTTTTGGCTTTCGATCTCGGCATGCACCAGTACGTCGGGGCCGCTAGGGATTTTCTCCAGGTATTGGTAGTTGCCTTGTTATGGTTTTCTACGAATGAATGCGTTTGGTAGTCTTCCGGAATATGCTGACAACCGACAAACATTTTACCAATCATACCTAGCTATGTCAACAACAACAACAACAACAACAACAACAAGTACCACCACCGCCCGGGCTCCCTCAACGTCGGCCCCAAACAACTCGCACACCCAGGCGGTCTTTCCAGGGAGGCTGGAGCTGGTTCTCGGAGACTCGAGCGAAACCGTCCCCGCTCATACGGCCGCAGATGCGGCGGCCGGTCGAGACCCCCGAGTTTGCGACTTGGTGTTCGTCGACGGTGACCACAGCGAAGAGGGCACCTACGCCGACCTAGTCAATTTCGCGGCCAAGACTAACAGGTGATCGTAGTAGTAACGAACGGCCTCATCAATACCACTCCATCCAGCAATCAGCGTTTTCTTGCATGTGTCCCTATAGTATAGTACGGACCCGGGGATAAGAAACGTCGAAAGCGGGCCGAGGCTCAGCTTCTTACCTCATCTCCTCCGCTGTCGAGCACAGGCTGTTCCATTGAGTGTTGGACAAGGATCTATCGCTGGGATATGCGGTCAACAAGGACAGTAGACTATTACTTCTGTCAGGATAACAGTACTGGGAAACATGAAGCAAGAGATCAGACTTGAAAGTAGGAGAATGATCAAGGGAGTCAAGGCGGAAGTGAAGAACGGTTCTTCACTTCCGCCTTGAGTCCCTTGATCATTCGCCTACTTTCGAAGTCCTGTCTTGCTTCATTTCTTCCAGTACTTTATTTTGACAGCGATGTAGTAATTCTCTTAATTTCATCATGCAGTCCCGATAGCTCGTTGTAGTTTGGCCATCGCTTTGAATTGCGCCATTGTTTGCTTGTCCATATCTTGCAAAGAAAACTTCGGTTCCCTTATGCAAACAAATACTCTGAGTATATGAGATACGTGTGGTAGTTAATGTTCAGCGCCCGCACTTGAGAATCTCAATAGTAACTTTTGGGTGAGGCTGGGGTTCTTGGTTCATAGGGTTAGGCTACAACTTTCCACTATGTGTACTGGTTTTAGTGCAGGGGTTCTTAACCAGGCTCGCAAATAGTGCTCAAGTTCTTATGTTAGATGTAATGTTTAGCATGAAGTTCTAAACTGCCAACTGCCAAGTTCTAAAACTGTCAAGTTCTTCAACTGTCAAGTTCTTATCTGCCATCTGCCAAGTTCTTAAACGGTCAAGCTCTTTACTGCCAAGTTCTGAAACTGCCAATTTCTTAAACTGCCAAGTTCTTAAGCTGTCAAGTTCTTAAACTATGAAGTTCTTAACGGCCAAGTTCCTACCTGCGGGCGCTATCTGTAGTCTAGTAAACCTTCGACAACGAGGAGGGGCAATCGGGCCGAATTAACCGGTGTAGTGGATTTTGTTGACATGTTTGACAGGCGCGTATATATTTGTCATCGGTGACCCCACATCCGGCGGCACACAAGCAATCGGATCGAGACCGGAGGTTGTCTCGACCATGTTGAACACGTAGTTAGGGAGAAATAAACGACGTCCGACCAGACCCTGCAACGAGTTCTTCGGAAGCTCGCTCCCCGACGCACCGAATAGGTAGATTTTCATTCGTATTCATCCTCAAATGTAGGCAGAGTTTTTCGTGTTCATCCTCAGTTGTAGGGATGGGATGCCTATGACTTGTAGCCACGTGTAGAGAATGGATACGAAGATGCTCTGCCTCTTCGGTACATCGGGGAGCGAAAATACGAAGGGTTCTTTGCCGGACGTGGTCGGGAGCCATTTCCAAATAAATCTCGAACAACGTGTTCAACATGGTCGAGACCATGTCCGGTCTCAATCCGATTGCCTGTGCGTCGCTGGATGGGGGGGTCAAGCAATCTTACTACCGTGTAAAGCTTGCTGTCTATCACGCTTGAGCGGCCTTGCCCTCGCAACCATCAGCGTGGGTCCACCCGACTTGCCGATCATCATGAGTTTCACTTCCTACACTGAACATTGTGTTGCCCGCTGGAACTCAGTCGTGTCGACTCGTATTACTGGTGAAGGAGCAGATTACGGAAAACGGGGCCGACTTGGCTGGTGTTCACGAATCTTGCACGATGACCCCACGATAGGCAGGAAATACGTCACGAGACATGGCTAACAGCAGTGGGTTAAGGACAAGAACATAAGGTTCAATGTCTTGGAGGCCTACGCATACAAGTGAGCTACCAGCCAGCACCATCTAGCTCAGTGGTCATGGCATTGTGCGATAGCCCTCCCCCCCCCC